AAAAAACACACTGAAACCTGAATACACGCACAACTTTACTCACTTTTATTTTGTACAGGCGAATATGGAATTATACCAGTGAAATCACGCCTCTTCTTTTGCAAACGTGTATTTATTGATAAGAAGAAGGTGAGCCCCCTGGGCTGCCCACTCCTCTAGATGACAACTCAAGTCATGTGGCTGCAAAAGGGCAACTAGCTGAAAACAATAAATGCTGCATTTTAGCTCATTTGTAAGTGGAAAAAGTAGGTGTTTTTAGAGACCAAGATGCTTATAACGACATTTCCCCTTTCAGTAGTGAACACAAACCACATGACTCTCTCTCAAGGGGAATTCCCATTTTCACTGGCATCTGCATTTTTTTATCAGTGGCCATAAAGACACCAGCCGGCTCCTGAAAGAAGGCAAACCACGAACAGGAGCCTGCTGGTCAGTCATGGAATGCTGTTGAGTTCTGTTTGGCGATCTTCAGTTCAAAGGAAGGTTCCAGAACTTTCTAGATGACACAGCCTCTGGTGCTACCCCGGGGGGGGGGGGCGGTTTCAGGCCCAGCTTCACTTCTCCATAAGGGCTTCCAGCTGCTCCTGAAGAGAGGCCAACTGCAGAGAAAAAGAACAAAGGGAGGGAGACAAAGATGGCATTGTGAGTGCTTAATGTTCAAGATCCAGGAGCTCTTCTGGCTGCATCCAAAACCTCACCTGTCCCTCCCTACCACCATCACTTGCTTAGCCCGAGGGAGATACTCACACATACATCCCCCAAACACCAAACAATGCCAGCCCTTTTTCTCCTCTCACGCTCCTCCTCCCTGTGGCAATCCCCCAACTGCACCATTCCTTTCCCGTCCTTTCTCCCCATAATCAGCCTCTCTCCGCCAGCACGGTCTTGCCCTCAAAAGACAAAAAGCTGACTTTCAGTCCTAGCCATTCTCTAACAGGTCAAACAACCCAATCATCAGCATGCCTTTAGGGCTGCAGGGGGTATTTAATGGGGCAGCCTGAGGGGCAGAGTTACATCCTAAGTCAACAGACTCGGAAAGGGGTAATACTGCTTGTGGTGGCACCGTGAAGGCCCAGAACAGAGGGCGGAGCCTCTCTGAAGCACTCTGTTGGACACGGTGATGGAGAGGGGCGCCTGGGCAAACGCTACATTTAGAGCAGGGCTCTTTTTGTAGAAAAAGCCCAGCAGGAACTCATTAACATAATAGGCCACACCCAACAGCAGGAACTCATTAGCATATTGGGCCACACCCCTGACAGCACAGCTCATTAGCACATTAGGCCGCACCCCCATGTTACCAGAAGTGTGGTTATCCAGCCACACTCAACTTTTCTTTCTTATTCTGTTTACCTTGTTTGTTGTCAAAACCCAGGGCCTTTTTTTGTAGCAGGAACTCCTTTGCATGTTAGGCCACACAACCCTAATGTAGCCAATCCTAATGAGTTTCTGCTGTTGGGTGTGGCCTGTTATGCTAATGAGTTCCTGTTGGGCGTGGCCAACTTGGGAGCCAGCCGGAACTCCGTTCCTGTGCGTTCCTGCCCAAAATAGCCCTGATTTAGGGCATAATCCGTCCTAGCCTGGGAAAGCCAAGATGGGGTGAAAGGGGTGGCAAAAGGCTCCATTGTAGAGCAGAGTGGCCCCACTGAAGTTTAAGGTTAACACACAAGCCACACTTGGACATCAAGACAAGCTGGGGTTAGTCATTATAAGAATGTCAGAAAGGCCTTGGGTTTGCGTGTTCCCATGTGCCATTTGCTACTGAAGACTTCCTGGTTCAAAACAAGCTGCAATCCAGCTCAGGAGACAAGAAAAAAAAACCCATACTTTGTGGTCTCAACACTGACAAACTAGGGTTCTCCGCACGTCAGAAAGTACAGCTGCAGTAGAATGCAGGAGGAGGCAGGGAAGGAACCGGTGAGCCCAAGAGATTCCAAAACCAGTTCCCATAACTGAATGTTGCTAGGCTGAAAAAGGAGACATCGGTGATGCAAAAGGAAAGAAAGGCTGTTTTCCGCCAGGTGATCCAAGAACATCTCCATTTCAGAGATTTCAAGCTCCAGTATGTAGCACTCCCTGGTAACAAAGCTGTCAGAACAGGCTTCACGTTCTAGATTACAGAGCACAGCAAATCCTTTCCCTGTTGATGAGCTTTTCATATTCAAAACACACTGGGACGTTCCACATTTGCGGGTTGCTACTTGCTGGTTTGCCAAGCTGGTCCAGCCCCTGTTCTGCTCAGCAGCATCACAGATGTGAACGGCTTACCTCCTGCTTCTCACGCTCTTCTTGCTGTTTGAACTCATCCAGCACAGCTTGGAGACGGGTCTGGCAAAAGTAAGAAAACATGACCATTGTTGCTGATGTTCTCTACATGCAGACACAATGGGGTTTTTTTGGGAGAGGACAGAATGCACAGCAGGGCCTCCTGCTTGCGCTGACCTCCAATATACCACAAAAGAGGGCAGTTTGCTTATTTAGAAAATTTCCATCCCACCCTTCCATAAACAGTGCTCAAGGCGGCTCGTGAAGCTAGAAACTGAAAAAAGATAAAATACCACATTATAATCTAGAAATACTGAGCAGTGGTTAAAATCAACCTAAAAACCATAAAATAGAAAACACCAAGGAGCAATGAAACGCCAACCTAATAAAATGCCAAAGCATCAAAATTGGCATAATAAAATCAAACTATGAAGCCAATTTCAGCAATAAAAACAGAGAAGGAAGTACAGGCCATGCAGTTTGCATAATCTGATTTGTAACACTGATGTAAGATTTCCCCGAGCCTAACACGCCACAGAGAAAGGCGAAACAGCAAAGTGTTGCCTTGTTCCCCCTACAAACTGATTGCTTAGTCACTTTCGGAATTTCCCTGATGACGAACAAGAACTCAACCCAAGTCATCTAGAACTTCCTGGCTATCTGGGACCTCTTATTTTCTGCTGAATCAGCTGCCTCCTGTTTTTAAAGCCCCAATTCAAGTAGGGCCTTCTGGCTATATTGGCCTTCTAGCTGCTTAACTAGACTGCTCCAGGTTATAAACCTTCCCAGATCTTAGCTGAATGGAGTAAGGGACAAGGACCCTGACACTGGACTCACCTTGAGAGCCAGGTTCTCTACCCTCATAATGAGATCTTCTTGGCGCTTCCTGCGCTCCTGAGTCTCTTGAAGCGTGTCTTTCAGATTGTCGATCTGCTTCTGGATCCCCAGGGCTGGAAGAGAGAGAGAGCAGAATCTGCCATGTATTTCACTGCATATCCTTGCAGAAGTCACTGATGCAAGTCGTCCACCAGGACAACCCTCCATGGGCTGCTCACCTATCTGGTTGGTCCCTTCGTTTTCTTGCTGCTGTCCATCTGATTCATTCAGCTTGCCTTGCAACCTCCTCTCCAGATCTTCCTCCGTATCCATGATGTTTAGGTCTTCATCGTCATGGTGATCCCTCTCGTCTTCATCTTCACTGCTGCTACTGATGTCATTAAATATCTCTCTGAGTTCATCATGTTCTACTTGGTTAAAGTAGCAAAGGGGGGGGGAAAGGGTGGTGGTGGAGATAGTTAACAAATCTTTAATGCAACGATAAATTTTCAGGCTGGAAAATGCTGCTCATATTGCCGTTTCATCCATCCATCTCCTGTGCCTCCACGTTTTAGACACATCTTCTTCCTTAAAGAGGCCTTACAGAAATCCCAGTCCAGCTTCAGGGGTCTAAGAGTGAACTAGTCTATACTTAGAAGTCAGTCTGGCAAAATGAACCACAGGTGTACTTAAGAGAAGTCAGTGTCATGCAGTGTTCCCTCTAAGCTGAGTTAGTGTGAGCTAGCTCACACTAACTCAGCTTAGAGGGAACATTGGTGTCATGTACGGCTAAAGAATTGGAGTAGAGCTGGGGAGACCCGAGTTCAAATCCCCACTCGCCCATGAAGCCTGCTGGGTGATTACGGGACAGCTGCACTGTCTTACCCCAACCGGACTCTACCAATCCCAGAGGATAAAATGGGAGGAGGAAACATTAGGTATGCCACCCAGCACTCCTTGGGGAAAGGCTGGGATAAAAACATGACAAGCTTAAGGGCAAACTGTGGCAAAGATGGACAGCATCTTCACCCAGGGCACATGGTTTGCGCCCAGCCATCTCTATAGAAGCATCTAGAATTAGCACATGACCTTTCAGGGGACGGCAGGCTTTGGCAACTAGATGGAAGGAAGCCATCATACCTGATGAACCGTGGCCCTGCTTGTGTCCGGACATCCCCGGGGAAGAAATATCCAAGCCTGTGAGGGAACCATGGTGGTCTGCTTCTTTTGTTTCATCTTCTGCAATGATTTCCCAGCCTGGCAGCAGGCACAGAAGAGTCAAAGGAAAACCAATTCACTGAGAAGGGAACTCATTCTTCGGGGAGTGAGAAACCACATTCCAATTGTTCACATAAATCAATGTCCATACCTATTCTGACCTTCCACCCATTTTTTTTTCTCTTTGGCCTAATTAACTCCTCTTATTTCCCAGCCTGGCAGCAGGCACAGAGGAGTCAAAGGAAAGCCAATTCACTGAGAAGGGAACTCACGTTTCTAGGGCAACATTCTTCGGGGAGTGAGAAACCACATTCCAATTGTTCACATAAATCAATGTCCATACCTATTCTGACCTTCCACCCATTTATTTTTCTCTTTGGCCTAATTAACTCCTCTTGTTTTGCTACCCATATCTGACAAATGCAGTCTTACGTGCTCCTGTACCTATTACCTAAAACTATACTTACCTGCTACCACCTTACAGCTCTAGTGGTACACAGAGTCAGTCTGGTGTAGTGGTTAAGTGCACGGACTCTAATCTGGGAGAACCGGGTTTGATTCCCCACTCCTCCACTTGCACCTGGCTGGATGACCTTGGGCAAGCCGTAGTTCTGATAAGAGCTGTTCTTGAAAAAAGAGCAGTTTCTGTCAAGAGCTCTCTCAGCCCCACCTACCGCACAGGATGTCTGTTGTGGGGAGGGGAAAGGGAAAGGAGTTTGTAAGCCGCTCTGAGACACCTTCAGGTAGTGAAGGGCGGGGTATAAATCCAATCTCTTCTAGTGTATTTCTCAATGTATTCCTGGTGCCCAATCAAACCGCTCAGCCTCCCTTATGCTAAGCTAAGCAAATCTCTTTCTAGCGTAAGCCTACCGCCAGAATGCTCAAAAAAATAAAATCAACATGGCCATGATTGTGCCACCGAATGAAAAAATGAAACTTCTTTCAGCTGAATCTGGACTGTCAGAAGTTTAGCCCTCTTAGGCTTCTTTCTGCCATGACAAGCATGCCGCAACTGCCCAGTGACAGCTCAGAAGTCAAGACTTTTGGTGTGGGAACCGTAACATCTTTTGCTCCTTCTGGAATGTCTCCCTCCTCCAGGTCCATATATCTGGGTCCCAATATGCTCTTGCTCTTTCCTCTCTATTTCCCCATCCCAGCCAAAACTGAAGATATAATTACCAGAATAAACTGTCTTCTTAATTCATTAGATCTTGTACACATTTTTGCACTTGCACTGAGTTTAAGCAACTGCCTTGATAGGGGAAAGGCAGGCAACTGTTTTATGATAGATTAATGAGAGTATTTGATGTGTATTTGACGGGCTTCTATTATTTAATCTCAAAGCAGTCCTGGGTGGCTCTGTCTGCAGACTGTGAGGAATTTCAGACAGACGATGTAATCCGGAAGAGGAAAGGTTCCCAAACGGTTTCTGGCCTGTCATTTCAGGCAGAACCGTTTTAGAACCGGTTCCCTATCGGAATATATTTGTAATTTCACACACAAACGCTTCTGTCCCGTTTAGGAAACGGGGCTGAAGCGTTTTACCTGTCAACCGCTTCCAAGTAGTCTTCAGTTTCCTCTCCCAGTTCCAATGCGCTTTTCCCTGCCGTTTTTCGCCCACGCAGGCGATCACCGGCTTTCTTTTTCTTTTTGGAACGTTCGTTTTATATCATTATAGCGCTATAATGGTATGACAACGGTATAATGCAACAGCATTATATCAACCCCATTGGAATGCCTGTAGTGTTTTGTTATAGCGCTATAGCGTTATAGTGCTCTAAAGCGAATGTTTTTTTAAAAAGCCAAACATCGCCCGCACGGGCAAAAAACAGCGGGGGGAAAGCGGTGCAGTCTGAAATGGCAAACCGCTTCAGATCCAGCTCTTTACTGGAAGGGGAAAGCCATGTGTGAAATGGCAGTCCTATACCGGTTTACTCCACGACGGATCAAAAACGGCTTCAAAATGGGTTAAAAAGGGTAATGTGAAATTCCTCAGAGTCTTACCAGGGAATGTAAGGGAATGTAAGGAGGGTCTATGTAAGGCAAATCCCATTTTAGGCTTTAAGAAAGGATACGGACACTGACGGCTTCAGCATCCGTGCTCAGCAGGCGCTTCACTTCCTTCTCCACATCGGGAGACTCGATGTACTGGGCCAGAGAGAGAGAGAGAAAAAAGGCAGGTATTTAACACTCAGCAAAAACAGACAGCCCCACTGGCTGCCGGCCATACCTCAAACACACTTTGCTGCCTTGGGGACCCTGAGCTGGGTGGAAAGGCGATATAGAAATGTTTTATACAATTAAAAAAAATATACTGGCAACATTTTTACCTCTTTGCTTTCAAGGACATTATTGTTGCTCTCCCAAACCACTCACTGGGCCCCCCGTTTTCATAGCCCTGATGGTCTCTCGAGTATCCCAAACAAGCCTCAACATCCTCCCCAAAGCCCTACTAAATACCTTAGGACAGGAATAGGTAGGAAGCAACCCATCAGTGGACTGCTGGCCAACTTCTGGTGGCCCATCTAGTGTCTGCTGGTTGTTGGGCTTCTGACCCTGAATGCTGGGCCCTGACCTCAGTCAGCAAGGCATTTTGGGGGGTGTCCGTCAGAGAATACTCATGGGCTCTTAATACAAATGAAGGACACCTTGACTTTTATGAGACTGAATGCACTTCTGCTTCCTGGCTAAAAAAAGCAAAACCACACAGTGAGTCACTGGCATTATAATTTAGGGGGGGGGGGAGCAGATTATGAACATACGCAACAGTTGGCTGGATCTGTTCATTTTCTCAGTACAGGTTACACCATTTCCCCCCGATCTGAAGAAGCCTGAGAGTGCCCTCTAGTATTTTATTCCAAAAAAATTTAGGGTACCTTTTGACTCACCTTATGATCCCCAAGATGGCAACCAGCTAAATACACGCACACAAATGTACACACACACAACAATTTTTTAAAAATCAACAACGCACATAAATGGGAAGGGAAGGTTGATAAAGACAGCCTCACACTCTTCCTATAAAGAATGCTTTAAGCAACAGACTTCTCTTGAAACACTGCTCCCTGTTCATAGTGTTAAGTTTTCCGGTATGAGTAGACTTCCCCCTCCTCAGTTCTCTGTAGGTCAGAGAAATCACATGGAGCTTAGCAACAGGTGCCCAAGGACACTGCCTATTCCCTGTCTGAAATTCTGAATGAAAATGATGGAAGAGTCTTGGGTCACTTTAAAGGCTAACACATTTACTGAGGCCTGAGCTTTTGTAGGGCAAAAGCTTTTGTCCGATGCATGATCTCTTGAATGCAAATGCTGTGTAGAAATGGAGGCTGCACAGAGATGGATCAGAATCTCATGGGGAAAACCAGCAGAGGCAGAAGGAATTTATTTCTTCATGTTCATGATTGTTTCTCTCCCCTCCTGTCCATCTTGTCACCACCTTCCCCTGCTCCTTCACATGGGAAACTGTGGACGCAAAAGGATATTGGGATTTGTGTTTCCTAGGGATTATAGCTATATTAGTGCCTCTGGATCAAAGAAGCTGGGCATAACAGAATGCCAACAACATCTGAAATGGCTCTGCATTTAACATCTAATGCAGACTGGAAAAACTATCCTATGCCAAGTTACCCTGTCTAAGCTCACTCATTTCCATGCACCTAGACTGGCGTAAACTCTGTGTAGGACTCCACTGTAAGGGACTCCTTTAAAGCTGAACAATGTTCAGGGCAGAATTTATGGCTGGTTTTTAAAATGCCTTTCCTCCTTCTCCCTGACCTCTGAACAAATGGCAGTTTTAGTC